AAGACCAGGTTGCTTTTTCCCTGTCCCCTGGGTTTTTTTTTTTAAAAGAAAAAAAAAAAAAGGAAAAGAAAGTAAAATAAATGGAAACTGCAGGACTTCCCATCTGAGGTGCAGAAAAAGAGGAGCATGCAGTGAATCACGAGATATACAAACCACAAAACGTTAATACAGGAGAGAACACAGTTTTCCAACCTGGGCTTCAGCACGGATAGTTTCAAAGAGAAGTTTTTCCTGGGATTGCATGGAAATCAAACATACACAGGAGTGAGGAGAGAGGCGGCTTCCCCGAGACCCCCGCGAGATCCACCAGAGCTCGGGCAGGGCTGGGAAACGGTGGCCGAGTGCCAAGCGGGACGGGGAAGGAGAGGCTGGAGCAGCTCCAGGCCAACAGCGCCGGGTGAGAAGAGCCATTCCATCACCGCGGGGACAAACCTGGCAAAAAAACCTGCTCGCTGCAGCTACAGTAAGGACGGGAGACGGCATTAACGGTGCGGCCGTGTTCACGACGCCTGTAAGAGGTGGCCCGTACGAGTGCGGCTGGCGCTGTGAGCTGTGAGGAGGTCAAACACCCTTTACCCACAGCCGCAAGCGCTCACAGGAGGGACTCTGTGAAGCCGGGGGGGTCCCTTCCTCTGGCACTGACGGCAGGAGGAGACGCGAGCATTGCTAACGGGTAAGGGGAAGGAGCTGCGGCAGCTGCCTGCGAGATCAGAAGAGGAGGGAAGGCGATTCACTGCCTGGAGTTTAAGATATATCAGAGCCAAACAGCTTCGAAATCGAACCCTGGGCTTGTGCTGTCGTGACCCATGGCAAGGACGGGCAGCTCGTGCTGAACAGTAGCCAGAGGAAAGGGGGAACCCAGCACAACTGAATCCAAGTGGTTTCACAATACCTGGTGGGAATCCAGAGGAGCCTTGATATAGGAACAGTATTTCATATTCCTATGCACAAATTAAAAGCCACATTTTCAACCCTCTTTGAAATCTGCACGCGTAAGAGTAACTCAGCACATCAACATCCCCACAAAGCGTATCCAAACTAAGCCCAGAGACAGGGATGTGAGAAAAAGCTGCAGCTTCCAGGAATGGACAGGCTCAGAAAGAGGAAAGAAAGGGGATTAAGGAAGAGTTACTCCTGCACAGCAAACCAGACAACCACAGGGCTGCTGAACTCCTTTACCTTGTTACGTCGGGAGCTGTGGTGGGGCGCACGTGCTTCATGATGGTCTGGATCCAGTTGCGGCGAATGCCCGATGTCATGGCGGAGAGGGTGAACTCCCCTTCCTTCGTCTACATGGAGAGAAGGACTGGTCAGAGGGGCTGATTGCACCCACCAGCATCATCCTGCTCCCTCCAGCACCACCCAGCACCCAGTACTGGGGCACCACTCACAAGTGGTGCAGAGGGAGCACCCCATCAGGCCGATGTTGTCATAGCTGACACCCTGTGGCTGAGACAAAACCTTCCCTTCCCCACCCCATTTTTTGCCAACCAAAAAACCGTCTCTCAGATCCAAGGCCACAGCTCTCTGGAGCGCTGTGGTGGATGCAAAGTGCCCTTTCCTAGGTGTTTGGGGAGATATTTCTTTCCTTTGCCATGGATGAGCATCCCCAGGCAGCAGCACAGCGTGAGCAGCCCCAGGGGCTATCCCGCACCTGGGCTCTTCCCCAGGTTTTCCTTACATGGATCTGGAAGCCGTAGTTTCGCTGAACCGGGTACTCGGTAACATCATAGCACGTGGATAAATCGATTTCTCCATCCAGGTCAGCTGCCTGGAGATAGAAAAGGTAAAACAACCTGTCACACTTTGCAACCCCAAAGCACAGGGGGCTTGCAGAGTGACACTGAGAGAAGCACAAAGCCCTGAAGAGCGATGCTGCAGGACTCTGGCATCTGGGAAGAAAACCTCCCCAGGGTCAGTCTGGGAGCGCCTGGGCTCCCCAGGGAGCAGAGCGATGGGTTGAACAGCGATGGGGACACTTACCTCCTCCGCCACCGAATCCCGGTAGTATCTCAGGCTCTGGTCAGTCAGCACAAACCAGTGCTTCTTCCACTAGGGAACAATAAAACGGGCAGTTATAATCCTGCTCCTTCCCCTCCAGCAGAGCCTGGGCAGCTCATCACAGCTCACCCAGCAGAGATGGCCTGCAAGGAGGCAGCTCACAGCCTCTCCCCTCCCACCGCCGCATCCAGCTTTGTCAAGAGACCCTCCAGAGGGAAGGGGAGACTCAAACAGGCAGCAGTGCAAGGGACACTGCGATGGTTTTGCACCACCAGGACCCAAATTTCCCCAGTGCTGATGCACTGGCAGAGCACTGGACCCCCAGCAGCACCAACCCTGTGTGTGAACACTGTGAGAGCCACAGGGGCCGTCAGAGCCTTCCCATTGGTGCCAAGATGATGGAGCAAGCACAGCTTTTAGTGGCTGCACTTAAAGCCTTGGAGGCACCTTTTAAAAATAAAACAGCAGTAAAACATTCATGTTTTATCTGCAGTACCTAAAAATGGAGTTGCAGCTTGTTCCTGGCCCTTGTTCTATACAAATACGCCTTCTGCACGCTCCCAGTGAGGCACAGGCTTACCCAAGGCAGCTTTTGGGTAATAAAGCACTCGCTCCAGCAGCTGGTTCCCCCTCTGGCTGCCTACAGACACCCTCAGCTTCAGTGCACCAGTGGAGCCCGGGCCACAGCTCTCACAGCTGCAGGTGATTTGTACTCATTTTCCCCTCAAGAGGCTGAGCAGGAGGGAAGGAAATCCAGAAAAGAGCATTTGCAAACAGCCATGGGCACCCACACGGCATTGGCATCGGTGCCCATCTCTAAGGCTCCGATGGAGCAGCACATCCCCCTGGGAATGGACAGGAGGAAAGTGGCTGCTTCTCTCAGTGCCAGCTCAGAGGGATTTTATTCCTTGACCTTGCCATTCCCCTGGCACTCAGGAGACTTTACCTGAGCCTCATTACAGATGCCAAAGAGGCTGCTGGGTCACAAGGGAGACAAGACTAATACAGAACGGGAACATGAAACCAGTGCTGCTACCCAAGCTGCCCCCGCACCCTAGAAACCCATGACACCATATCCAGCTGTGGGGCTGTGAAACCTCCCCAGGACAGAGCAGTGCCTATTACTACTCCAAAATAAACACCATTTGCGCAGGGCTCGCACAAAACCACCGCTGCCTGCTCCAGAGCTGCGCAAACTCCCTGTTGCTACTCTGCCCAAGCAGAAAACATCTGGTTTCTCCCATCTGGATCTACCCTGCAAGGACATCGAGGTGATGTCAGTGCGGAGAGCAGCCCCATGCGCAGCTGGGACGTCGGAGCGGGCATCAGCTGCCAGAAATGGGGCCCAACCGCGGCACCGTCGAGCGATGTGAAGGGCAGAGCATCCCCAGGACTCACCTGCCCGTCCTCGTACTGCTTGGTCAACCAGCCCTTCTTGAAGTCCAGCAGGTCAGGCTGCAAGGAAGAAGAGAGGCAATCAGAGGGGAGGGCGGAAGCGCCCGCGCCCAGCAGACAGCAGCAGCAGCTTGATAAAACATAGCAGTAAGAGAGGCCAGCAACAGTTAAACTGGATCACTGTGCTGCGTGGAGCTACATGTTCGCTCCCAGGAGGAACAGAGACCCAGTTTATTCAGGCTGTGCCCGTCCTAGCACTTCTCACGCAATCTCCTCCTGCTACACCAGCATTACAAGAGGAAGAAGCCAGGAATTAGCAAGACTGCAGGCAGCTTTGTCGCTCTATTATATATTACAAAAGAAAAACTATGTGCTATTAATGCAAGGCTGCAGGGTTCAAAACAAGGCTGAGCTCCCAAGGCTGGAAATACAGGGAATCCCAGCACGGCACCACCCAGACGACGCCTGCTCTTTCCTCCATCCATCGGGATGGTGAAGCTCAGAGAAAAGCAACCACGATAGCGTGGGTAACTCCTGCCTGTGCACAGGGAAGGATGCAGTGGAAAAGCTTTCCCTCCCTGGAGGCTGAGCTTGTCCAGCCGCTCCACGTGCTGCAGTGGAGGAGGAAAGGAGAGCAGTGCGTGAAACGCAGCTGTAGTGTCTGAAATGGGTGGTAGCAAGGAAAAATCAGGAATTGGAAGCTTATTCAACCAAAACTATGCTATGGGGCAGCATGTCCCACATTTGAGTGCTCCCACGGTGGTGGGAACCCAGCCCTGCTTCATAGAAACACAGGGGGAAGTAAATGCCACCTAGACCTTCCCAAATACCCTGGAGAAGCAGAGGAGGGAGTAGAGCGACGCCAGCCTGCACAGCCCTGGCTGTGATGTGGCTGCAGGAATTAAACCTGCCAAGCCCCACCAGGACCTGCTGACGAGGCGGCAATAAGGCATTATAGAGAAAATTGCATTTGCAATGACTACATCCATCTCTGAGGCAGGCCACGAGAGCTGGGCACTCTCATCTCAGCCCTAATTTACCCTGAGAGAGCAGTAACACCTCCCGCCTGCTGTTTTTCTGCCAAAATGCAGGTGTGATCGTGCTTGTGGGGTCTTGGTCCTGTTAAAGCCCTTTCTGTGCTACAGGCGAGCATCGCGCAAAGAACTGACGTTTGGGATCAAAAATAACTGGCTCCCAACCATGCACTTTGCAGAGAAGGAAAGCAGAAGGACTGCAAGAGTTACAGCCTTGTTATTAATCAGCTGGGAAGCAGCACAGGGCAAGAACCTTCTGCAAAAAGCAGATAAATAAATAAAATGCACAGGTTTCAGGCTGGGCTGCAGTGAGACACTACAGAAGCATCCAGGGTGGGAAGGTTTTTCTTATATTGCTGCTGTTATAGCAGGAGTGGCACAATAAAGGCGTACTTAATGTAAGGAAAATGTTTTCTTCCCATTGACTGCGTGATTTTCGTGCATCGCCACTTACTGTGCACTTCTCGCACCTTTTTATTACCACCAAGAATTTAAAAATCACTCTTGTGGCTGGACAAGTCTGTGTGAAAAGCTACTACAGAAAAGCTGAGCTACTGCATTTTTCTGAGAAGTCCTTCAACAGAAACTGTCTGTCCACGAAAAATGCAGCTCGTATTTACAACAGCCGTGTAATCTTTCTGAGAGATTAGCAAGTGTATTTATTTTGTTCCTCGAGAAGGGCTTTGAGCGAGAGGGGAGCATCTCGTGTTTGTTCTGTGCTGTTTGCCTCCAGGTCTGGGGAGCATTTGAAAAATGCAAAGGGAGGGAAGCTCAGGAGGGCAGGTCCAGCCCTTCCTCGCAGCCTGCGTCCCACTCACACCCACACCAACAGCAAGGGAGCGGCATTAGGAAACCAGGCCATGTATCAGCTCTGTTTAACGTGCAGAGCATGAAGTGTGAAGCCAAGCCACTGAAACCTGCTCCGAATCAGAGCGTATCCTGTGTCCTACGTGCTGGATACAAGGAAAGCAGCAGCCAGGCCACTTTTCTTTGGACCTCCATAGGAAGGACCTCTCCTGTCCCTCTTCAAAGCAGGGGACATGGCCCTGGTGGCTCACCGTCATCGAGGACTCTGTGGACCTTCTGTCCAGTGACTTTGCCCGGCGATGAGGGGACAGTGGAGATGCAGACACATCCAGGATGGAGCCCACAGCTGCGCCCTCGCAAGTGAAGTCCTGTGTGAACAGCATTAGCCCAGATCAGCACAGGAACTGGGACAGCCAGTCCCGCTCTCTTGGCTCACAGCATAAAAATCCACATACTGAAGGGGCATCTCAGGCTCAGAAAAAGTCTCATTGCACTGGCAACACACTTTCTGGTCCTCTCAGGCATTAATTTGTTCCTGATACATCTAAGTGTATCTGGGACTCTCAAAAGTCTGCCTGTTTCTTTTGCTACTTCACCCCATCCTTGCTGCACCCAGGGACAAACCCTGTAGCTTAACCCCTATAGCTAACCCCTATAGCTTAACCCCTACAGCTAACCCCTATAGCTAACCCCTATAGCTTAACCCCTATAGCTTAACCCCTACAGCTAACCCTTATAGCTAACCCCTACAGCTAACCCCTATAGTTAACCCCTCAGCTAACCCCTATAGCTTAACCCCTATAACTAACCCCTATAGCTTAACGCCTATAGCTTAACCCTATAGCCAACCTCTATAGCTTAACCCCTACAGCTAACACTTTGAGCTAACCCCTATAGCTTAACCCCTACAGCTAACCCTATAGCTAACCCCTATAGCTTAACCGCAATAGCTAACCCCTACAGCTAACCCCTATAGCTTAACCCTATAGCTAGCCCCTATAGCTTAACCCCTATAGCTAACCCCTATAGCTTAACCCCTATAGCTTAACCCCTATAGCTTAACCCTATAGCTTAACCCCTATAGCTAACCCCAACAGCTTAACCCTATAGCTTAACCCCTATAGCTAACCCCTATAGCTTAACCCTATAGCTAACCCCTATAGCTAACCCCTATAGCTTAACCCCTACAGCTAACCCCTATAGCTATACCCTGTATCCCGGTCTGTCTGAGCCCAGGTGTCACCCCAAAAACCCCACCACGAGACCTCAGCTGAGCACCTTACCCGTTTCCTTGGGAAAACCCTCTTCTCGCTCCTGCCCTGCCGCGTCTCGCTGGAAAGGGCAGCGCCGGCCGACACGTTGGTCTCCATGTGCTCCGCGTTCTCAATATCTAACGCCTCGAATTTCTCAATTACCTGCGAGCGCCTGGAAAACAGAGAGAAAAGGGGAAACCAGAGCCGGTTTAAACACAAGAGCGGCAACTGCGCTGAGCTGTACAACCCCACACATTCAAGGCTGCAGAACTGCTCGACCCAGTGTTCATGCACACCTGGCTTTTGGTCCCTGTTTCTCTGCAAGTTCTAGCGTGCACAAATCCAAAAATCAGGGCAAAACAACCCAATCTGACCTGCACCATTTTACCTGCAGTCAAAGTGGAGGGGAAAAACCTCACGCTCCACAAATAGTATCTTCCTAAATATCTAGAAAAAACCCTCGCAGTAACTTCTTACTTGTAAATTTTCCAGCCCTTTGAGATGCAGGGATTTATTGGGCAGCTTTGGCTTCAGCTTTGGCTTTACTCTCTGGCACTGCAGCTATCGATGGCCCCCAGGCCATAGACACAACAGACCAAGTTGGGGTGCAGGTACCTACGGGTCACCCTGTGTGTTCACTGCGATAGATATCCCCTAAAAACCCACAGGGGCAATGTCCAGAGGACTGCAGGGAGCACAATTTGGGCTCTCAGACACCGCCTTGGTGGCCCATCACACCGTGCCATAGACATCTCCAAGGATGGAGGAGGACTATGAAGAAATGTGGATGGAGCAGGAGCCAACCATGGAGCAAACCCAAATGGGATGCTCCTAAGATCGAGCACACACCAGGCCTTCGCAGGTGGAACTAAAAGCTCCATTTCAGCATGAAAAGCTGCTTGTTGAGAGGAAATACTGGAATTTTCAAAGGGCCTGCTGGTGTCTGAGTTTGCATTTCCAGGGGTTCGGGCAAGTATCAACCTCAGGTCTTTAATCCCAACCTGGGAACGTAAAGCAATAACCCACCACTAACACACACACCAGATGAGCTCCAAGCTGTGAGGTTTAGAGCTCAGTTTCGAACCTCCCCAAAAAGCTCAATCCAGGCAGGTTCTTGACACAAAATTTGGACTCGCTTGCTCTGTGCGAACCTCTAATGTGCATGAAAATCAGAATGGCAACCACACGAGGGGAAACAGGTTATCCAAAACAGCATTTTTAACACTTCCCACAGAGAGAAACAGCAAGGTTAAGGGCTCAAAAAACATAAGAAGTTCAGTTTTCAACCAACATTTGCACCAAATTCCATAAACGAGACAATCTGAGCACATCTCATGCCCCAATGGGCTGGGGGCCCCCCACGCTGGCTCAGCCTTCCCTGAGCCTCAGGTTAGGAGGGAATAAGAGGTCGATGAATTAACATTGTCTGTGCCCTATTAGGTGAAGGCCTGAAGAAAACCAAATCAAGAGGAAAACAAAAAACCAAAACCCAACCAAAAAAACCATGAAACGAAAATCAAAAGCAGGTTGATTTCTCATGAAAGGGGCTGCACCACCAGGTTGTTCTACGGCTCGAGATTGAGATGAGATGGTAGCGAAGCAGGCGAAGTAAAGGCGGACACGTCACACAGCAACACAGCAGGAGAAGGTGGAGAGCAACAAGACCTGGAAGAAAACAAGGCTGGAAAATGAATGAACAGAAGAGGAAATTAAATATCTGCATACAAAAACAAAATCAAAATCATCCCAGTAATTCGTCATTGAGAAAGGAAGGAGAAAAATCAATCGCGGCAACCAAATCACAGCCCCGAGGGTTAAGATCATCCGGATTACAGGAAAGAATCGTGGGGGTTATTCCCCCATTAGCTCAACATTTTGAGAGGTTATTGCTACAGATCCTGGGGGGCCAGGGAGGGGAAGGGCTCTCCTCTCCCCACTGCGCCGAGGAGGGGAGCTGCTCCTTCCGAAAACAGCAGCTCCGTGTGGACAAAACCAGGCTGCGTGCAGGAAGGTACAGGAAGCGTTTTGAGAAGCTGCGGTGCGGTTTAGTGCTGGTTTTTTTAAGTACAAAGCTCGTCCCAAGTCGTTCCTCGGCCATGCAGGGCGTTAAATCTTTTCCAGGCCACTAAACCTGAGCTGCAGCTCTCGGCTGTGAGGTGGAGGGGTGTGTGCGGTGGGAAGGAAAGCCGTAAAGAGCAGCACGGGCTATCGTTAAAGGGGATTTTCTTTGATTGGAAGGAAGGGCTTCTTTTTATTGGATTCATTCATTATTTAGTAGTGAGAAAGAGAGCGAGCGTCAGGGAAAGGAAGAGGAATTTCCCCAAGAGGTCCACAAAAATTAAGAAGATATATAGGAAAGTTATACAGGAAAGAAAAAAAACTATACTTGGGAGAGCAGGCGCTGGTTTTTATGGGTAAAAGCAGCATTTAGAGCACAGCCTTACATCTCAAGAAGCTCCAGAGAAGGCATTTGAGAAAGAAAACTCTTTTAAAGCGATTTCAGGCAGCTCTGCTATGTATCAGGGCTAGAAATACGCCTCAGCACCCTGACCATGCTCCTGCAGCCGATCCGGCAGGTGCCACAGCAGACTCTTGCCAGCCTGAGCAAAACATGGGGTTAACCAGGAAAGTTGCAGTTTTAGAGGCTGCATCCCTGGAAATGTGCAAGAAAAGCTGAGTTTTCCAACCAGAAATCCCAACGCTCCCTGGGAAGCCCACAGCCACACCCCCAGAGGAAGCCGCTCCGGGTCTCTGCACCCCAAGGACTCCCCATGCGACGGTGATCCCCTCCTCAAAGCTGCTGGCACCCTCTTGAGGTGTGCCAGGATTTATCCCTGCAGCTGCAGAGCCCCGCTGGCATACGGAGACCGACGTCTGAGGGCATCCCTGAAGCCTCTTTGGTTGTGCCTCTGTGTGCAAAACAATCCAAGATCGGGGTTTCCAAATTGCTGCTCCTGCTCTTTCGCCCTAGGGATGGGTCTGAGGTGGGAGACTGGGGGCACAGCTCACACTTCTGGACACAGACGCCCTCCCCCGGCCCGGTCGGACGCCCCTGCCGTGTGCCAGCAGAGGGAACTCGCACTCTGCTGCTCTGCCAAAATCCTGGAGATTATCTCCTCTGCTCTGATTCATATTGCTGAGCGGCTGCCGCGAGCTCAGGCGTCTGCGTGGGGCGTGGAGTCTGCGCCAGGTAGCAATGGTCAACATGGAAAATTTCCAGCGCAGCCCTGGACATAAGTCACGTAATATCTCTTCACTGTAAGAGCAGAAGCCGGAAAAGCAGCTTTATCTGGAGCTAAGCCTACAGGTGTGGCACTCAGGATGCAGCACTGGGTACCTAAAGTAATTCTTTTCCATCCCTAGCGCTGGCACTCGCACTGATTTACAGTAGGAAAACAAAACCAAAACCAAATGGGAGGAAGAGCCGAAAATACCAACAGAATCAGAGCAAATTTGTTTGGCTGCACTGAGATGAAAGGCGGATCTGAATGATGCCCGGCTGGCACCTATGGGGTTGGCATGTGGGCAAGCGTTCCCGGATGGGTTAGTGGGTTACTGAGGAGGATTATTAGAAATGGAGTTAAACCCAGGGAAAAAGCTGACCCCCGCAGCATGGAAGTGAGTTATTGAATTTGCTCGACCTCAAACAGCACAGCCCGAGCTTGGAGGAGAAAAATGAGAGGGATATGTGGACTAAGTAAACTGAAATTCAAAAAGCAGCCAAGCCAAGCTGAGCAGGGTGCTGGTGAATGTTAATTCTCTGGGCTGCATCTCCATGCCCTGTCGAGACAACCCCAGCGCTCCAAACCCTCTGGCAGGTGGGGACTCCTCACTCTGCTGCCGTCACCCCCCTCCCAAATGCTGGATCGGGCTCAGCATGACCCTGGTGCAGCGCTCGCTCCCCTTTCTACACCCATCCTTCTCTGACCAAGGCTGACACAGGGGAATTTCTGCCAATACTGATAAAGCAGTAAAAACCTGTTAACAGCCCCAGGAGCCCAGCTGGGCTGGGAAAACCAGACTTTCCCTGGGAAAAGGCACCCGTCAGCAGGCAATGACATTAAAAAAGGACAGTTTCTGGCAGGAGCGTCCTCTCCCAGGCCCCCTTATCTGCCTGTAAATCTGCTCCTCCCTGTCCTTGTTGGCACATCCCAGCTCTGTGCTGGATCCCAGTGCTGCAGGATACCCCTGGGGCTGGAGCAAGGGACTGTGGGCACCAGAGACAGGCACTGGCCAGGGTGTCCTGTGCAAGCAAACCCAGCAGAGACACCATCTCACCAACACTTCACACCAGTGCAGCCTGCAAACCAGCAGCCACCCAGCTGGGGTGGCCAAGGGACCCATATGGCATCCCTCTTGGGGAAGACTCCATTCCTGAGGCAGAGCAAGCCAAACCCATGCTCTTCTCCTTTATTCCCAGTCCAGCACTCGCTGCGCACGCTGCCGGGGCTGGGCTGGGTTTGGGATCCTCCTGCCAACCGGCAGCGCTGGCACAAAGCTCCGCCGCACATCCCAGACCCGCTCCCGGCAGCCAGGCTGGAAAACAGCCCTCGAGGGGCTGGGAAGAAACGGAGGAGAAGCGTCTGCTGAAACCGTGCGAGAGAGAACATGCCCGGAGGAAAACCAGGGCAAGAAAATCAGACTGGCAGGCAGCCCTCTCGCCCGGGGCCCGTCTCCCGGTTCGCTCTGCTGCCCTTGCCGCACAAATGCCTCTCCCAGGGCAGGTCGAGCCCATCCTTCGCCTCGCCCGGAGAGCACTGGGGTGCAGGGGTGCGTGTGGACGCCCTCTCCGTCCTCCTCTGCATTAAGCTGTTTTGGCGCC